TTTGTGTGCCATTTAGAAAAGGTGGGGAGGTGTTGCTCCTTGTTATTACACTGGGCCACAGAAAATAGGATTTAGGCAGGGTTTTGCAGTGAGTAATAACACGTATACTCACACTGTCTCCCACATGTCATGCCTGTAAATCAGTGGATCAAGTGCACTAAAAGGAAATGCAGCTGGGACTTAAGGGATAGAAATAAAGATACTTCACACTCTCTGCCTCTAAAATAATAGCTCCGAGTACCAGACTCTCTCTTTTTTTAATCTTTAATCAGAAATCCCCCTTCGTTGACCTCAGTCGCTAACAATGTAAAGAAAACTATTTTTACTTAACTCGAAGCGAGGAAGAGTATTGCTGCTCTTTCCGTATTTAAAATGACTTGCTAACATGGAAGCCGACTGCGTCACTTTTTGAATCTGCACTTATTGTTACCATGATGGGAAAAGAGGTATTATCTGAAATGACAGGCAGATGGCAAGCTCAAARCCTGAAAAGAGAGGAGCTAAGGTCTCCTAATCAATGCGTAAATAGAGGCGGGAGTTAGAAGAGAGTGCTGATGAGGAAATTGCTATGAGTGGAGCAAAGCAGAATGAGAAGGTTGGAGAAACATTTTAACCTAGATTACAGTGTAAGAGTGCAGACCAGTAAACAGACTAAAATGAAGATTTTTTTTTCCCCTACGCTGTGGCAGTGTTGCATCAACATTCAAAGTGTGGTTAGACCAAGTAGYTGTTGGGCTCAGGTCAAAGCCTCATGAAMAAAGGACACTTTCTAAGATTATAGGGTGCAAAGAGCAAAGCATCAAATATTGGCTTGAACAAACTCTGTGGGCGTGTCTTTTCACACGTGCTGCTTTGACATGCACTGTGTGGAAAAGGTTTAGCTAAACTTCTTTCCAATGTCACGTTTCTGACAAATTTATTTTCCAAACTTATATCTGTGCAAAAAAGGGCAAGGCACATTCCAGCAAATTAACCTACCTCCCTTAATGCACCTTAGAATTTGATCTTGTTGAACTTTTAGAAATAAAAGTGGAAAACTGTCTGATATGAAACCAGTGTGAAAGTGGAGGTGAATGTGACCTCCTGCTAAGAATTAGCAACTGGTTATGTTTACATTTTTTTATTCTATTTTGTTYATGTGGGTAGAGAGGCTTTACACAGGCAGCAGATGGGAGGAGAGATAATTTGGCTGCTCTAAACGTAAGGACAAATGAACAAAGTTAATGTGAGTAAATTGCTTCCTAAAGGATTGGGTAATTTACTATTTTGTGGCTTGCTGTTGGTAGCCCTGTAGCTACACTTGTTCCCGCAGTTTAAGTGTTCAACACTTCCTACGCACTTTCCTCTCATTTCCTGCTGTTCGGCACTCCACGGGTGCATTTTTTTCCCTTTTTTTTTTTTGTCTAGCAGATTTTTCTGGCCCTCGGATGATGGTCTCATGACATTTCTCGTTCACTTCTGTAGAAGTCTATCTGAGATGCAAATTTATGCACGCGTTTCCTGTTTGGGTGTGATATCCTGCAGTTTTGCAGGCGGATGTGCTCATTGGGCCAATAGAAAGGCTSCTGCACTGTGTTTAGAAATGCAGAGTTTTTAATCACTGAGTTTTGAACATTACAGAGCTACCAGAAAACAAACTCCACCAGCCGTCTAACACTGGGCATGAGTCACATCCTTTGTATCGTTAAAACAGCTGCTCCAATCACCATGATGCATCACGGCTGAACACATGAAGTAGTCTTCTCAAGGAAATTATTTAACAGTTATTTTGTGAAAAAGAACAATACAGTGTGAATGCATCTAATCTATAGCTAAATTAGTATACTTTGAATTAGTATAATATTCACAAAATTGCATTGACAGAAAAAGCACATTCAACAATGTTCTCCCTTTTTAAAATGACTTCAACAAGCCTAAAAATGTGACACATAATGCTTTAAGGGTTAAATGGAGACAAGCTTGCTGTGCAGGTGATTTAGTAAATGGTAGACATAGTGAATGGTCCTGCGTAATGGCAGTGTGCTTTGGGGCAGCATTCCTCAAATTAGACGATGTAGATTTGTCAACAAATGCGTCCTGCTGCCTTCAGATGGCTGCAGGGGATTAATGAACTTAAAGAGAAGCTTTTAACAAAGTATGAAGCAGCTGCGCACAAGTGCTACCACAACCCCTTAAATATATTTACAGGTCAGAGTAAACAGTGATTTACTGATGTTTTGCTTCAAACAACATTTTTTTTTTCATGCTCACAAACACCCACACACCACCAAAGGTATGATTAAATGTTTGTTTTTTTGTTTTTGTTTTGTGTTCTAGTATTTTTTGTGTTTTACTTATTATTTTTTTCAGGAGTATTTAGCTTGCTGTTTACAACAAGAAATTTCACTGTTATCAGTGACACTGCAGCATTTGTCTAAATATTAAAATGTGTTTTTTTTAAATTAACTCCTAAATAAAAAAAATAAACTTATTTCTATTTTTCTGGGAATTGTGCATCACAGAATGGTTGGCGTTAAAGTACCACACCAGTAAGGATGAGAAAAKTCATGTTTTGTGGAGTACCAACCTCTGAGAGTCCTACTTGCACACAATGTGCTGCCCTTAAAAACAACAAGATAAAACARCACTGGTACTCATGATGGATAGAAAATTATATCAGCAGAGTGAAGTACAGATGGGTAGGGAGTATCAAATCAGATCTAGATTCTTTAAGAATTATACTTTTCGAAATTGATTTATTGATGATGCCTGTATTGTCATTGTACAGAGCACAATGAAATTACATTTAAGACTAAAACTATCACAAATGTTGATACTGCTGCTATCATATATACATTGTAAGATTATTCTAGTTATATGATATGATAATAAACTATTGATGTAAGCCTAAACATTAAAAGAACACTAATCAGATTTATTACAAATATTTATCTTAAAAAAATTGAATATTTATTGAAGATTTTGGAAATTACTTTGGGAAAAAATATCCAATACATATAAGTTGCAGACATGTGATTACAAACAAACGGCACATAAATTGTGTTAACTTATTTTTCTACACTGAATCCAATTCAAAACAAAGCCTCACTTTTGCTATTAGATTTTAAATTAAGAAAGTTGTTTGAGCAGACAATTACCTACAGTATTTGCAGAATCCAGTCCAGAAGGAGTAATATTATGTGTTCACTCAGATTAATGCAAGTTCCTACCATTGTTGGACCTCATTTTTATATATTTGCTTTACCCTGTCAGAGCATAAAGCCTAAATTGAGCAATCTTACTATGAGTTTAGGGTTTACACATCAGAAAAAGGTAGGGCTGTGTATATCTTGTTAAACGCATCACAGGGGCACACCATCTCTGCTTTGAAGTATTTTTTTCTGCATTTATTTTACTTCCATAACTTCTCGCTTTAACTGTGCTTAAGCCTGCTGGCTGAAAAGAATCCATTCCTACATGGTCACATTTAATTCCCTTCATCATTTTTCAACTGGAATGAGTGAAATTGCTTCTTACCAGCAACTTTGCTCATTAAGAGCTCGGAGAACATTTAAATATTTCTATTTAAAACGCCTTCCCAGCAATTCCCAAAAGCCTATTTTACGCTTCTCCAGTAAGTGGATTAAACTGAATTAAAAATGAAAAGGAAAAAAAAAAGGGGAGAGACTTTTTGTAGTGCCTTTTATGTTTGGTGAAATATCGCTTATGTTTTATATCAAACAAATAGGTACACCGCAGACACACCTTTACTGCTAGTGGGGTAATTGATTTAGTTCACTCTGGATGTAAGAGAGCAGAAAAAAATGTAGAGAATATTAATAAAATCCCACAGTTGGCTATCTGATAGAGACTCAACAGCCAAGCTGCAGTACCTTATTTGTCTTTTCCCATATTTTTTTTTGTTTTATCAACCATCTGTCCTCTTTAAAATGGTTTCCTCTTTCCAAAAGGATGTTGTTGTAAATCAATTCAATGATCTGCTCTGCTCTGTTTTTTTAATATAAATTTGTGGTTTTTATTTTTCCAAAGCAGCAATTTAGTTTTTTCATTCAAATTAATGATCCTATTAATTTATTTACAACACATTAAAATGCACAATTTCCCTCGTCTTTGTTAGAGTAAAAGCTAAAATGTATTTTTAATGTTGACTGGAAACGTTTTAGCAGAATACTTGAACCACAATTTAAAGTGATATTACTCTTGCAAGCTTGTTCCAGTGTTTGGAAAAATATTTTTTATCCTACAGTAAGTGAAGACCTTTGCTCACCAACCACTTTCTGTCAAGGTAGACCATTAGTTGTGTTGTGGTATTTTTTCTGCAACCCAGTTATTATGACAAAAGAGATCAAATAGAGAGGTGGCCTGCTAAATATTGAAACAGTTACTCAATATTATTCAGTATTAAACAATGTCCTTTCACATTCAGCACAATTTGTCTGAGACGCACAAAGAGCACAAAGCTTTTCCATCAGCTCCAGCCAGTTCATACTGACAACAAAACCAACCATTTTTGTAGTCAGTAGGCATTTATTTTTTTTCTCAAAGAGCTTTTGTTTGGCTCAAAAGACTTTGGTGAATATTTCCTTTCATTAGCATTATGATTTGACAGCCAGGGCTCACACAATAGCAACTCGGTGTCACACGAGCATATACTTACAGTTATACAACAGAATGGCAGCAAATACCCCAGCAGTCTGAGACAGACAAGACCTGACTGCATATTATTATTTAAAGAGTTGTTTATTGGGCTGTGTGATGCATTATTTTTTGAAACATGCAAGCGAGCAGAGAGTAAGGGAGATATCTGCAAAATGTTGAAACTGGTGGAAACGATGTCCTCAAGGCATTTGATTTCAGTGTGACATTTTCCTTTTCCTTAATAAAAGAGTTTTGCTTGTTATGAAACAAGGCAATTACTCACAATCTTGATAAACTTGTCTTTATCTCTCTTTTTTCCCCCATTTACCTGACTCTTTTATGCATGTCTTTTGTTCCTGCAGTCATGCCCCGTTTTGCAGAACAAGTGGAGGTTGCTATTGAGGCTCTCAGTACGAACCCGCCACAGGCATTTGAGGAGAACGAGTTCATTGATGCATCTCGTTTGGTGTACGATGGTGTCCGTGACATCAGGAAAGCTGTCCTCATGATAAGGGTATGTCTGTTACCTGTTCGAAAAGAGCAAAAGAACACTGTGACATTCACTGAGCTGTCCTGAATTCTAAATCAGCAGTCATTTTATTGCCTTGAATCCTCTATTCAAAACATTTTCTTGTGCACTGTGTAAATGTATACATTCAAGAAAAAAGGTAACTTGCTAGTATTTCAAAATTTTCATATTTGTAAGTACTAGAGTAAAGGTTCAGCGTAGAAAAATCWGATAAAGAATACATTGGTCACATAGCAAAGTTACCAGTTCATAAAACCTACTTTGCTTTATATAACCTGCTATACTAGAGCCTCTACACCAGAGGTTCACAAACCAGGGTCCTGGGACCTCCAGGGGTCCACAAGTTATATTTTAGGGGTCCTAAAAATATGATAACTAACTGTTAACTATGTTTATGTTAAAAATAAATAAATAAAATACACAGAGAACAATGCACCAGTAAAACAAACAAACAAACAAACAAACAAACAATTATTATTCCCATGGCATTTAGGGGTTAAAATGGCAGGAAATCCTTTTTAAATCAGCATGAGGTATCTGAAGGGATCACTGGAAAATGTTCCTCCCTGTAAAGGGTCCCCAGACCACAGAAACCCTCCTCTACACTAATAATATTTAAGTTTTGCCTCTTCTTTTTGGAGGTTTATTGTTCATTTAAAATATATGAAAAAAGCAGCATTAAGTTTTATTTTCTGAGCTTGTTTTGAACCATAACCCTAAAATTGAATTACAGACTATGGATGATTTATGTGGTCTGTTGCACCATGGGTACGCATTTGAATACATTCATTTTTGAAGCACGATACACTTGCCCATTGTTATTACTCCAGTAAACATGTGAACATTTTCATTCAGATTAATTCTTTGAAAATATACAATTTACAGAAAACGACAACTGAATCTTAAATCATTAGAATAAAAATCTGTCTTGACCCTGTTAGTTCAATCATGATTCATAAAAAAAAATCATCCACACTTACAACATAGACGTATTCAATTGTATATGGTCTGTTTTGTTATAGATCTTAATTTGTACAAAGTGCTGCTCATGTACTGTTAAAAAATGTTTGCTAACAAAAATCTAATTGCCCTCAGAATGAGGAAAAACAAAAGTTGTCACGAGATTTGTTTTACAGAGTAGCCATGATAAAAATGTTTCGAAATAAGACACCAGCTGCTCCTCTGTCTCACGCGCTCATTTTGATGTTACAGTATCAACATTTTTTATTTATTTTTTTAACCCAAACTGGCCCTCCTCTTTTCACCATGTAATTCATTTATTCAACTCTATGCAGGCTGGAAGGTTTCCCAGTGCAGCTCTGGAAAAAAATCTAATTATGGAAAATAATTTGATGTTGGTAAATAATGTAAAACAGGCAGCTTTGAACTGCCCAGGACCAGCTGGCTTCATAATCCCATCCAAGTTCATTTACTTTCTGAGGAAACAACTTGGAAGATATTGTATGTGCTTTCTGTGTTATTTGACCTCATTGTACAGATAGTAAATGSTGGTGCAATACTTTTTTTTCTTCCCTCCCTCCCTTTCTTGTGTCATTTTTCTTTCCACTTAAAGCGAGTAATAGCTCCTTTAGAATTTTTACAGCAGAGATCTCATGAGAAGTCAGTGGATTAGGAAGCCGATTCTCCACAGTGTTTAAAGTTTGAGACAGGTCTTTAGAAGAAAGTAAAAGTATAATAAAACTTCTCAAAAATTAAAGTAGTGTTGGCCTACATTTACCTACATACAGTACATTGGTGCATACTGAACAGTGTAAAGTGTTAAAAGAGTATAGAAGCAAGTGGACATACAGTATGTTACTGCATTAAATGATGAGTGAACAAACATGATGTACATCAGATTACTAAAATGATTTCACATCTAAAGTTCAAGATCAAACTACTACAACACTAAAATAAATGAATGTGCTGCATGGCTGGGATCATGTTGTTTAAACTATCAGTGAACCACTGAAATATAACCTGAGAATGCCGGTCTGTAACCYCAGAGTTTAAAGGCTTATCACATGTCAAACACTTCTCGGGGTGTAATAATTGGAAAGCAGGATATTTTTTTACAGGCTTGCAAAATTGTCACAATAACTGTAATGATTTCATTCTAGGTTAGAGTGACCACGAGGTAAACAGCAGAAACATCCTGTGCACATAAGTGGACAGTTTCCTTGGTAACTGTCCCTCTGAGTTGGCACCTTTCCTGCGTCACACAGTGACCTCATTGAAACAAACGAGGGGGCTGAATGCTTTCACACAATCTTTATGTATGAGCAAGCATTGCTTTTGTCAAACCGTGGGTCATATTACTTCAGTAACATRAGCAAAATGCACCACAGAATTCCTTTACAAATACTACCAGTACAGTATGTTCACCTTTAAACTACAGAATCAGTGTGACTGTGGATTATCCTTGTAGCTACACATCTTATCACTTTCACTCCCAACTGCCAAGTGTGATCAGTTGCACAAGCAAGCGCAACATGCAGAGAATTATTATAATGTCACATTTTTGAAACAATTTATGAAATAACCTGATTGTTTTGACCATTTGATCAGCTGGCATGCAGAATAAAACACAAGAATAAAAATTTCTCAAGCACCTTCGAGGCCTGACTTTCAAGGTCTCAAAAGGCCTCTTTAACATSTAACTTCAATCAGAGTATTGACCAGCCAGGTACCGAGTGTTCCTCTGTATGCTGCATCAAACCCACTCCCTATGTAATAAATAAATGTGACTGGTCTGATCCAAGCAATGCTGGGTGAAAATCWATTTGAATATAAGCAGAACCAGCCACAGCAAATAAAACTTGAGTCCTGTTTTTTTGTATCTAGCCCCAACGTTAATTATTTAAAAAGTCAAAAAGGTATAAAGGTTTTCAAAATCAAACTAAATAAATTATTCATCAAGTAAATTATCAAGCCAAAAAAAATCAATGTTGAAGTAAATAAAAATATTTTTTTCTTATATGCCTAAAATGTTCCAACATGCACCAGAGATTATACCGCAGGTATTTGTTTATGAAACTTTTATGACAGTTAAACATTAGCATATCCTTAGCTTCCTTATTTTTCAGACAAACATGATTAATGTGTATCRATATGAAAATATATACACACCCATCTATTTATTCCTCAGAATCATATCTATCAGTGCAGCTTTTCTACTCAGTGGTACATTGCAAGCTTTGAGACATAACTTCAACATGTCAGGCTGTGCAAATCAATAAAGCTGGCATTAAGTTTGTACTTTGATTTAGATCTTTCACCATTGTGCAATTTTGTTAAATATCAAAMCACTTTAAATAATTGTAGTGACTCACTGGAGTTTTAGAGAAGTGCTGATTTTGACTGCCAACACCCACTTTTGTTCTCATCTAGTGTTGATCTTTGCATCAAAACTAAAATAACTAGAATAATCCTATAGCTACTGTATGTGGTAGCAGCAGTATCAACACTTGTGATATTTTTGTTTGAAAATATCAATTAGACTGTATTCATAAGGTTATTAWAACTTCAAAATGTCATATGGGCCATGCCTTATTAGATCATAACACACAGCCCTGGTTGTGAACCCAGGCATTGTGCAAACAGGCTTAGACATTTTTCGGTTTTRTGACTCAAATGCAAATGTCTGAGGCATGTGGTGTTCCAAAAATAAATTGAATAGATGGGAACACTTCCAGGTGGACTGAAATAGTTTTGACGTTTGACTGCTCTGTCTTTAGTCTTTTCCCCATCAGCAGAGCAAATGCTCAATGCTTTATGTTAATTTAGTTATCAGGTCATTTGGTTTTCTGACAAATAACTTTGATTGAGGGATGCAGACATATACACAAAAAAAGCTCTGAGCTTTTTCTTTCTGTCATTTTTATTTTTATTTCTGCGCCTTTCAACAAACGCCCTTTAGAACAGTTTTGTTAGACAATTTGAATCGAAGTCATTTTGCATTTCTGTATATATGATGGCTTTGGTTTGGTTCAAAACTCTGTTTGAGTTATTGCATACAAAAAAACAAAACAGAMAAATGCATGACAGGAATGTAAGAATACCACACAATAGATGTTGAAGTAAAAAAAAAAACTGCTGTTTGAGCTGTCAATTTAGAAAATTGAATTTCCCCCCTCTCYTTATTTTTCTCTTGTTTGTCTGACTTTTTCTTTGTGCTTCTTGCAGACACCAGAGGAGCTCGAAGATGACTCTGACTTYGAACAGGAGGACTATGACACTCGCAGCAGGACAAGTGTCCAGACTGAAGATGACCAGCTAATTGCAGGACAGAGTGCCCGGGTGAGCAGATATTTACTTCCTATTGTACCTTACATGTTTAGACGTGTCCTAGTTTTAGAACCTGTAACAAACATATAGTATTTATTTTGCTTTGAAGAAAAAAGTGGGAGACCAGCATATTTATAAAMCTGTGACAGTAGCTTTGGAGGTTTAAATGTAGACTGCAGTGCAAGTTTATTCAACTCCACATCCACTTTAGCTCCCCAGCTGTACATGAATCAGTTCATCTAACTACTTCCAATTGCATGGTTATTAAATTATCCTATTTGAAATAAATACTATTCAGGGATGGCAGGTGTAAAATCGCAATCACAAAGAAAGTAGTAATTACCCACCTCCCTTTAGACCCTGCCCAAAATGTAGCATTGTGTTGTGCCAAGGCCTCAGCCTTGATCACCAAGGTCTGAGCTTTGTTGCACATTAGCAATTTTTCACTTGGGCCCAGCTTAAAGGACATTAAGAGGGTATCAGTGCCTGTTCCCCTCCAGCTACGCGGAGGCTCTCGCGGTGTGTTGCATGTTGAATGGATTGTGGATGGCAGCAGTGTGACTTGGCTCAATTCCTCTCCCTGTGGCCCAGACCTGGTTAGGTCTCTGTACAAGCTGCACTCRGGGGCAACGCACAAAGACGGACAAATAAATCAATTTAAAATGACAGTGCAATTTTGTTAAATGCACAAATTTTGTGGCATTAAAAATTTATATTTCACAGCAGATGAGTTTAAGGAAAATCTCAAGTTACTTGAAGTGATAATACAGTCATTTTTAAACTAAATCCCACTGTAATTGTAGCAAAAGTCAGCAAACTGCTTTGTTAATGTAACAAGTTTGCTGTCTAAAAGTGCTGATTACTTTTGAAAAACATTATCTTCTGAAAGCCCTTTGCAGTATCACAACTTGGTGGTGAGGAGAACCCAAAATGCAGGCAGGCAGGCAGGCA